GATGAAATGGTGTTATTATGTCCTATCACAAAATCATTATAGACAAACATACATAGAAACTAGAATATAATTTTTTACTACGTAGGACATAGAGGGGAAGAGTTAAAAGACAAACCGAATAGATGGCAAAACAATGCTCAAATGAATAATAGCTGATAGACATAATTGAAGGATGAAAGAAGGCATCCTCTGCCAGAGATCTTGAATGCCTTGATGATACTGACAAGAAAACAGATTGATCATATTTTAGCAACAGAAAACAGCTGGAAAAATTTCTTTAAGTATCAAGCTTTTGAAATCAACACAAAATCTAGAAAAAACGGCATTACCAGCTGAAGCATCATACATTCCAATAGACACATTACTTAAAGCAAATTTTGCAGCCTCCAAAGAAAACTTCACCTGCTCAAAAATGACAAAATATTGAGGAGATAAGAAAGGATTCAAAAGCATTCATCAGAAAGAGAGGATGAGGGAAGAAAATGTTCATATTAATTATTCAGGCAGGAATGACTTTATGCAGCCAAATGAGTAGTTATTTATTTATTTAATTTCTTTATAGAAAAAACTGAAACATTATCGATAAATCTGAAAAAAACAAAAGTACACTGTTTATGACCAAAATCTGAAGTCCAACATCATCAAGGCTCCGCTAGATCCCCAGAATGACCAAAAGGTAAATGATTCGATTCCTGAGAGAGATACTTGTTGGGAGGGGCAGTCACACACCCCGAAAGGTATTAGTTCCTTACCCAAAAGGTGAGGGGATACCCTTGGTAGTACCAAAAAAATTTATGATCGTCCCAACTAAAATCCAAAAGGGGAATCGCAATGTCCTATTTACAATAAACTTTCACAACAACATAATTCAAAATGAGAGCAAAACGAGAAGAATCAATAGCAACATATGCACTAAACCAAGCACCAAATCAGCTGATAGAATATAATGGACATCATACTCCATTTTAATTTTTAAATAATAATCCAATAGAAATTTAATGACCAACCAGAAGCATTGAGACCAACAAATCACCTGTTTTCCTATTTCATCCATGATAATCATCCTTGGCAATGACTGCACCTGCATGGGAATGGAAGTTTTATAAGCTTTCAGCAAACAACAGCTTTGAAAGTGACTTAATTGACTAGCTTACCAATCTAGAAAGAGAACCAAGTGTTGTGGCGCATGAAAGGAGATTAAAGCATATATGCTTCCTTGACAAAACATCCAATTCCCTACACACAATCAACACCCAAAATACATGATAGAGCATTATAGATTGTTTGACCCATGTAGCTACCCTTCCTAGCGGGGTAAGCTTTGTTGTTGTTGTTGAAAGTATTTTCAGCTGAAAATATTTGTTTGAAAAGTGATACGTGAAAGATTGTTCATTAAAAAAGGAAGCATTCAGATTGGGACTTCAAAAATACACAACCAATTATAAAAGTATTCAGTTTAATTATATTTCCCCCTTTGGGACATATGTAATATGTTCACAGCAGGGACTTGTAAAATTAAAGTGAGTTGAAATACAATGCTCATTTAGCACTCCATTATTGTGTTTACCATATGTAGTCAGCATCCAGCTTTCATAATCATCATAACATATCAAAACAAAGAAAATTAATTTGTAAATCAATAATACCTTAAGATTGAAAAGAATTATTATGCTTACCATTCGGAGAAACCTCTTTCACTCCCAAGGAGAATGGATGTTCCTGATTGACCAACATAAAGGTTATCAGACTTCAGACCAAGGAGTTGCCGCAACTGCCCCATGAGAATTTCAAAAAGCTTCTGGAGATCCTGTTTCAGAATATACATTTCCAGTGTTCAGAAAAAAAATTAATGATACTCTCCAACAGTGCGACTATAAATAGATATGCTTGCTTAACTGGCATTCAAAACAAAAAAATGAAGTAATGCTTTTCAAAAATTGCTAAAATAAAATGCTTTAGAATGAAAACCTATGAATTATGGGTTCAAACTTCAAAGTGAATCTAAGTTGAAGATGCACAACACACAATAAAATGTTTCAAAGCACCAGTTTACTTTCAATGTCAATAATGAGAAGCTACTTGTTTCTATGACAGTTAGTGAATCAACAAAAAAGATCCAATAATGAGTAAAATAAAAACCTGGGGAGAAATCACATGTCTAACTGGATCCTTACTTTCCAAATCCTTTTTACAACTTTGGGGATTCCATACTACAACACCTCCCCACATCTGCAATATTCAAAATAGTCGCTCCAGAATGTTAACCAATTTGATAATTTTATAAGATGCAATGTTACATAAAGAATGAGTAAAGAAGTTTTAAAGGTAAGACAGATAACTGGAGATATAAAGCCATTAGTCTTAGAGAGATCTCCATTTGGAAGCTCCAGTTGAAGAGGACACTCATTTGCAGATGGTATATACCTGACATAATAGAAAAGTGTAAACTCTGTCTTACAGCAGAACATAATTAACAAGTTGAAACCAGGCACTTGAAAATACGAATTCAATAGAGAGAGACAGAAAGGTGGCTTCATTTTTTCTTATCTAATGCTAATGCTGTAAACAGTAAATTGACTAAAACTCAGTCTAAAACAAACTCTTAGCATGACTTATGGAAATAAAAAAAATAAAAAAAAATGTAGGACTGAGTTGAAGAATATACACCACAAGTTGCAATACTTTTGACCTCCCACCCGCTGCAACTGAAGTATCCAAGTGCCACTCATTTGAATTCACCTGTTTAACAGAAATATTCTCGTCATAAAATATATTCTTAAGTATCTCGGATAACTTGACCAAAACTAGAAAGACATAGACAGAACTCAAAACATTATTTTATAACCTAGACATCATGCTAGTATGTCAAGTACTCCAGGTGGAAGTTACATCAATCGAATTGCTATAATTTTGAAGAGTCACGAGCCAAAACTAAATATGTTGTAATTCTATTAAAAATGATAAGTCAAAGCAATAGAGAAATCGTACAAAGAAAGGAAGATCCTTGGTACTAAATATGTGACTGCCATGCTCATCATTCCAGTAAGAAAACGAAGACTTTGGTGTGTGGTACAAAACCTGTCAGTTAGGAGCAATAACAAAATCATTCAAAACCAAAGTATACATGAAGTTTAATGACAGTTACATTACAAGACTTCACCTGGCTTTCGACGGTTATGTTTGCTATAGGGTGCAAAGCTTCAACCACAGGTTGCAATAAAGTCTCATCAATTTCACGAAAATTCCTACAATAAGATCAACACAAAAACTTCTGTTAGAAATTTTGATTGGTGTTGGAACCTTTATCCTAGTGAACAGCAGCATTTGATTCTCAGTTTCATGTCCATATATAGCAATGGCATCATTCAAGTACCAAGGGAGTATCTCTCTTTTTAATTGTTTTGTAAACATTAAGTTGAAAGTTTCACGAATCTCTCAATCTAAATTATTTGATCATGCAAGTCTCTCAAGTACTTCAAGATTATATTATACCGATGATAATGAAGTTCATATTCCTGACATGACACAGAAAGGTAGATATAAGAAACAACAGCAGCACAATTCAATGAAGATTTAGCAAGTTGATATATCACAGACGACAAAGCATATCTTTTATAAATCACAAACATTAGAAGAAAAAGTAAATGTTCACTAAGACAGCGTTGCACTAAAATTTCATTTTCATATTCATACCAATCATATATCCAATCTTGTGGGTTAGCATTGAGCAAACTGAAGGAAAGAACAATCCTGCCATCAGCGCCAACAGGCATGAACTCCCCACGAATCGAACTCCCTTCATTCCCACCATTAACAAACACCTTAGCAAAGATCTCAGCCACCCTCCACACTGCTTCCTCCTCCGAAACCTTCCCGACAATCCACGCATGCCGATACTTCCCCACCACAGTCCTCACCTCCTCCTCTTCTCCATTCACCACCACAACACTATACACTTTCCCACCATCAACCCCATTTCCCAAACAATTCTTCAACAACTCATCAGCATCTTCATCACTACCCCTCAAATTCCCTGATCCCACACAATCAAAACTCGAATCCACGACAACAGACACGTCATAACTGCTGCAATGACCACATTGCGAAACATTGGGGTTAAGCTCATACATTTTCTTCGTAATTGCTGATCCAACCTCACCATGAGAAACCCTAGAATCGAAACCAATGAATATAGCTTGAAATTGGCACGGAAATTGCAACGGATTGGACTCAATTTCAGAAGAAAAAGAATCAATCTGTGGAAATGGCAACGGAGTGCGATAGATTTCAATGGATTTCCAAAGAAGTGGAAAACCTGAAAAGAAGAAAAGGCACATAAAAATAAACAAAAAATGGATCTTTAAAAGAAAACAATGCGAAGTAAAAAATAGAAGATGAAGTGAGAAAGAAGAGACCTAAGATGAAAGAGAAGAGAACTGAGAGACTGAGGAAGAGGCGTTTGAAGCCTGGTTTTGTGTTACGCATAGTTATTGGATCCAATTCTGAAGAGGATTCTGAGTTTTCGGGATTTGGATGTGAAGTTGATGGAGAATCTGAGATTTCTTCCACCATTGTTTCAGGTAAGCTTTTGCATATTCAAAAACTCAGATACCCTATACTAATACAATAAGAGAGACATGCATTCAATGAAAACTTACTCTTATAGTAAAGGGATATTTTTACATTGTTACTATATCATTCGTTATTTATTTTCAATCATCATTAACAGCAAAAATGAGGTGAAACGAAGTAAATTGAATGCATTAACACATAAATACGATTTATGTGTTAATAAACTGACTAATAAAATTTTGAGATGTATTGAGAGGTTATAAATTTTTACTTCATAGTGGACATATAAATTTTTACATATTACAGTGTAATATAATCAAGGACACAATCATATAAGTTAGATAATGAAATCACAAATGAAAAATAATCTAATGTTTTCAACAATTATTTTTGTAATATCCATGACTTAAACAATAAAATCATCCCACGTATTGCAAACATGAATATTTTCTTGAAATTTTTTAAAGGCTCTCCTACTTAAGAAGACCTTATACTAATACTCCTCCTAAGTGCAATGGAGGTCATTAGTCTAGGCCATGGGCATTTATGATCGCTCATTGACCCCATCCAGGTAAGTATTTTTAAAGTTGTAAATGAGGTTTATTTTATACACTAGCTTCTCACAATTGGCTTCAGCTTCTGGCAATGTGGGTCTCAACTAGCCACCACTTACAATGCAAAATCAACTACTACACACATTAAATTGAAACAACATTTTATGATTCTTCTTTTCTATAATTTGCATTTACCATTACCACAGTTCCATGCCATGTTTCTTAAACTTTAGTAGTTGATGCCTTCAAATATCATTGGATGCCAACTTGATTTCCTTTCATTGCTTACAGAAATGCTATTGCTAACTACAATTGTACTTATTTTATGTCTTGTAATATTAGCAAATGCCATTGTTGCAATTTTCCCATGTTTTTGCGTGACACTGGGATAACAATCAAAACAGAACCTGCGGGTAGAGATGTCAAAATGGGCAGGCCCGTGCGGGCCGATCTGCCATAACCCGAAATTTTGTAGGGCTTGGGTATTAAATTTGGCACTTTTTAGTGAAGTCGGGCTATATTAAAATCGGGCTCGGACCGGGCTTACCCGGGCGGGTTCGGGCTACCCGTTTTCTCTTATTTTAAAACTTTTTTTGAGACTTTTTTGCTAGGTAATAAGCTTAAGATGAAAATTATTTTACAAAATAACTTATGATAAAAAAATAGATAATATATACTAAATATTGTGTAATAAACTTTGAATAAAAAATAGAATAATGTCTATAACATAAATATTTATAAGTTACAATAATGTTATCAAGTTAATAATTATATTATTTTTCCTATTTTGTTTAATATCCTTTTAAGCACATTAGCAAAATAGTGTATCAAATTAACTGAGAACATTAAAATATATAGATTCTATTTTTCTTTTTTTTATTATATATTTAATTAGATTTAACTTATACAACAAAAACATAATAAAGAAAATATTTTTTACAATGAAACTGAAAAACAACTTAATTGTTTACCGTAGAGAACTCAACACAACCAAATTTAACATAACAGTTCACAATGAAAATGTTTATAAATAGTATACAAAAGATATTCATACACAAAGTAAAGAAATATTATGATGATAATTATATTTCGACACATAGAATTCATTCCGAATTTGAGTCTATACTATCATTACTATAAACCAAAGTGATATTATTTTTTACTGTATCCATTTATTATATTGAAGTGAAGTTACAAATTATATTGTGTTAGAGATTGAGAGTCTAATATAAATAAAATATTAATGAATAAGTTATGTTATGAATCATATCCGTAGACTTAACATCATGTCTTAGCTCAAACACATAGCATTATATCTATAAGTTTAGTTGCATTGAGTATAACAATTGTGTTAAAAAATTTATGCATTAATATCAAATGATATATATATATATATATATATATATATATATTAAATATGTTAAAATTTAAATAATTTTTTTTAATATTATGCGGGTCGGCCCGCCACAACCCGCATAGGGCGGGTTTGGGCTACATTTTGATATACATAAATTGTATCCGGGCATTTTAGCCCGGCCGGTTTAGCCCGAACCCGCCCGGGTAGCCCGTTTTGACACCTCTACTTGCGGGTACCCTCTCGAACCCAACCCGAATTTAACGGGTAAAACCCGAAGTGATTGGGTTCGGGTTCAGGTTTTACCCGAGTTCGATTTTCGGGTTCGGAATTGGTATAGTTGATACCCTATCCCGAACCCAATTAATATAAGTAAAATTATAAAATTACACATAAATATATATATATATACATATAAAAGCTATATATATAAATATATGTTTCGGGTAGATTTCCAGCAGGTTCGGATTACCCGAAACCCGACGATTCGGGGATGATATTTTTGTTTTTAACCCCGCTTAATTCGGATTTAGGTTTTAAATTTCGGGTTCGGTGTTCGATAAATACAAACCAGACTTCGACCCACCCGGTTACCATTCCTACATGACACCAACATTATTTGAACCTTTTTTACTTAATTTACATAAAGAGATTTGTATATAATAGAAAAAATAATTAGTTTTCATATCATTAAAATTTTGATTACAGAAGCTACATCAAGAAGCCATAGACATGATAACACATGACAACATATAATGAGTTGATTGTGTAACAAAATTTGTGGTTGGTGGATCAAAATTAAAAACTCAAATTTGGTTACTTTCTACTGAGATTTTTAAGAATTGCATTAGACTGAACTCCTGATTGTGTGGGAAATAAACTAAAAGTGTTGTCCACCTATTTTTAGCAGTTTCAGGTTTATTAAGCTGATTATATATGAGCATCAAACTTGAACTCTTCTTCATCTTGGAAATGGTGATTAAACCTTACTATATACTAAGCTTACCCAACTATGCAACAAGTATCAGAATCATCAATAACACTAAAAATTGATGTTTTTTTTGCATAAAGAATGCAAACATGCATCATGAGACACAGCACATTGAAATTCAACAAACTTTTTCTAATCCTTGGTTGGACCAAAAAATGACTCTTTTTGTTGAATTTTGCAACAAATTAAGGATGATACTGTTGAAATCTCTTCCCTAAGACATTGTTTGTTAATGTATTTCAGCCTTTCCCTTAAATCTAGTGTCTTAGAGTTTGAGCCTGAAGATTTTGGTTCTCTTCCAAGAGTCTGTCATATTCAAGTAATAGATCCGCGGCTTGCTTTTGAAGGGAAGCAACATGAGATTCGGCGGTCTCAATTCTTTTGTCTTTCTCTTCGGATTCTAACTTCATCTTCTTCAAACTTTCTGATAGCAGCTTTATCTCCTTGGAAGATTTCTCTTCCTTTTCTTTAAGGTTGGTCGTTTCATTTCTAAGGTTTTCCAATTCTTCTTTAGAAGATCCTTTATTACTCCTTAAATTAATAAGTTTTTGGAGATAATGATGCACACGGTCGATTAGAAATCCAAGGAATAAGGTAAAACCTGCAAGATCAAATTAATTCATTCAAGACAAGGATAATCTAGCTTTCAATGTAAAAAAGATGTATACTAATTCCTAGCTAATCCTCATTAATTTCAACTTTTGGTGCAACAAAATCACTTAACAAAACCTTGCATGCATCGAGCTAATGGCCAGTAAAGAAAATAGATCTCCCTACAGAATCAAACTGAACAAAGTCAAGAAAAATAGATACACCACAGCATGGCAAAGAAAATAGATCTCCCTACCGATCCAAAACTGAACACATGGCAAAATAAAACATGCATCTTGCCATTTTGTATAAAAATAAATAAAAACACCACAGCAGCAAATGCAGATACTTCAAAACTTATCCTACAGTATTTGGTCTAAAGGATAGCCCAATTCACAAGGCGCTCACCTGGTCGGGTCTGGAAAGAGTATATGTGTATGCAACCTTACCACCCCCACCCCCCACAAGCGGAGAGTTTTTTTTCATCCAATATAATATACGATCTATACTTCAAAGTCTAGAAGGGTCCTAGTTTAAAAGCTAGTAGTGTAAAACCTACATGATAGTATATAATTTATCAAGATTTTAAGATGAAGTAGAATGCAAGATCAAACAAAGCCATAACCAACTTTCCTGAAGTTATTAAAAATAACAAATTAATATAAACTAAAGAGACTCAGTAACTTCAAAACAAGTTATAGTTCACGCTAAGCCATCCTGACGGAGGAGTGTCCGTCACACATTGATTGGGGGGAGAGACATGGAACTCCCATCTTAACAGACTGCATTTTAGGAGTGACCTCTCCTCTGCACCAAAATTGGTACCAGAGCTCACTCGTCATCCCCACAATGTGGATCAACCGCTCTTCCCAACCTGACAAGATTGACACAAGAGAATGAGTCCCTCTTGGCTGGGTCAGAGACAGGGAGAGTAGAAGCCTTCCTAGCTTAGCAGACTAGATTTTACAAGTGAGCTCTCCTCTGCATATGTGCTTATCTGTCCAATGACTGAACTGCATCAATAATTCTAAGGAGGTGTTTAAATCACTCTTATACTATATTGTAACTAACCAAAATAATGAATAGACATTAACTTTTATACTATTTTGACTTGCCTTCAGAATATACCATATTTTGTTTAACTTAATTACACTCGACACGATTTTTTGTTCAAAAAATTACACTTATATCTCTTACAGGGGTAGTCAGTATAATAAATGTATAATTGGGGGTAGTTTGTGTAGGTTTAAAAAAGGAAAAGGTGATTTGTGTAATTTCACTAAAACTTAGGTGAGAAATTATCAGAGACATAACAACAGTCAGACGAGGAAACAATTTGGCAATAACATTTATACAGTTGGCCCTCTAGCCAATAGGCTCAACAATATTTATCTTCATCATGCTCTCTCACACAATAAAGCAGTGCGGTCACTGAAATCTTGCAGGCTCTCAGATGAATCTAACAAAAAGCAAATGTAATTACGAATATGGAAAAAAGACTCAACCACCAACAATTTAAATGCAGCAACTCAATGAAGCACCACTCAGATCAAAGGGGCACAACACAACCGGATGAAGCAGAGATGGCAGACGACCAACGCAGAACCAAAACAGATGGAGAACAGTAACCAGATTAAAGTTTAACAGCAACCAGATCAAAGTGGAAACAGCTGAAAAGAGGTTTGGGGCTGTTTCTACCATCAAAAAAGGAGGTTCGGCCAACGCGGTAAAACCATCTATCTCACAAAAATGAGCTTGGACTTTCGAGGCAGGAATGTGATTATTCAGTCATTTAAAAATCATAGAATTATGCGATTCTAGATCTAGATCGTGATCTTGACTACCTTTATCACATTCACATTTAACGAGGTAGCCAACACTGTTTTAAATTGCACCAGGTAAGAAATGTACAATTCTTCTATACAATCACCTCTACCTATGGAGTTAATTCTATAATTGCCAACTTGCCATTCAAAACAAATTCAGGAAAGATCAAACAATACGACTTTAACTCCAAAATTCCATTGTTATCGGGTAGGCAACAAAGCAAGGTACAAAACTATTAGCACAACATTTAGTTATCTTTCAA